TGAACTAAGCTGCTTTGACGGTTGGATACAAATGGAGAATTTTAGAGGAGAACAGGTACCTGGTAACTTGACAGAGAGCAACATGAATACTGAGCTGAATCGGGGAACTTGAAATATATAAAGGCTAGTCATTCCTGTGGTAACAGTTACCAAACAACCCACGTTGCCCACGACTGGAAACATCTATGGAGAGGTTACTGAGAGTGTGGCCTGCGGCAGTTGCCAAGAGTCTGTGGAACTCATGAATCGGAGAGGGGATTTTTTAACTTTGGCGGTTATCTGCCGATTTCAAATACACCAACCTAGGAAGAGGCTGATAACAATCAACTGGATGGATTGTGCTGTTCCCGGTTCCGGCTACAATGGGAAACCCTATCTACAGGCGAGCTTGATTCATAAACACGTAGGTGGCTGCAACTGGCGTTCAAATTGGCGGTGGAGATTGTTATTATAGTATAAATGGCCGCCGGAAAGGTTGGGAGAGCTGTGAGTCGACGGTGGTAGTCGATTTAGGTTCAAAATGTGGACCGAAACCTACTGCAGTGTTGTTTTGCGAAACGACATTCACTATTGAGATCTTGCTGTGGGCTATAGATGGCCCGTAATGTTTAGCAGGCCCATGTGAAATATGTTTTTGACTTTAAAACTTAGATTGGGTCCATTTATATATCTATCCACCTTACAGAAGTATTTACACAAAATTAATATCCTAGACTTAACTTTTTAAAATCCACTGGCGGCAATAAACAAAAATAAGGATTCCATGTCAACAGACCTAAATGACAAATTGAAATGAACAAAAAAAATACATAATAATAACAACAAATTGTATGGTTATTTTTCTTACAATTCCACTTAGAAGTAGCAAACATAACAGCAACTAAATAATATATTATTCTATGTGCCATTAAATTGTTTTTCCCCATTTTAAGCTTTTTTTTTTTAAATAAATGAAATATGTTGAAAATCATTTCAATAGTAAGTAAATAGGAACTTAAACATACATATTAGAGCTATATGGATTATTACATAGTAGCATTGCAATTGTAATATGATTTTCATATTACAGGATCATTGAAGGTCATAGTTCAATAAAAAAAATACATATGTCATTCAACAATTCAACCCTAAACCAACAATATATACCCATGGAAATAAGGGAAATAAAATAAGAAACATCATGATGAGTAGTTTACCAAAATGAATAGCAAAACATCACGCCTAACAATTGTTCAGCAAACAAAACAAAATTGTAATCATAAGTAAAAACTAAGATGAAGTTCAAATAAATCAATCAAATATTTCTGGAAATACTATGTTCACCATTGAGGTGCCATCCTCTCCATTCTCATTGGCACTCAAAATCTTCAATCCTTGCTTTGTAGTAACTCTGGACAATGCAACATATAGCTGACCATGACTGAAAACTTGTCTTTGAAGACATAAACCATCATGGGCTAGTGTTTGACCCTGACTTTTGTTAATAGTCATGGCAAAACAAAGAGCAACAGGGTATTGCCTTCTAATGAGGGTGAAGTTAAGACTCTTGTAATGGGATGATAGTGTTAATCTAGGGAGGAAAACGCGATCACCTACATTTGTACCTGTCAAAATCTCCACCTCAAGGAACCATTTACCCAAAGTCTTCACAACCATTCTAGTACCATTACAAAGGCCAACAGTTTGATCCATATTCCGTAATAGAATGACTGGACACCCAACTTTCAGTTTCAGATGATGGTCTGGAAAGTTTCCAATCTTGAGATTGTTCAAAAATTCAGTAGAATAATCAGCATCCACAACTCCCTCTTTCCCAGGGTCCACCTCAATAGAATCGGCGCTGAAATATGCCACTTCATCTCCTGGAAATTGACTTAGAATATACTCATTCACTGCAGAAACCATATCATGGTGTGGAGCCAAGATAGCTCGATGGACTAAATAATTATGATCTCCTGCATGACTACTAAGATCACTGTATATCGAGGTGACAATATTAGTAACAGGATCAATCTGTCGAGGAATTACTAATTCCTGAGGTATGGGAATCAAAGACTCACCAAACACATCTGAATCTACTCCATCTCCTACTTGTAAGAGCCAATTCTGAAAAGTAGTTATCTCAACAATTTCATCCGGAGAACAATTAGATCGTGCTAGCCTCATATTCTCAACTAATTTAATTACCCTCAAATGGAGCCATAGGTAAGATCTCTTTATAGATGAGTTCACAATATCACCTCGTGAAGCTTTCAATACTATAGGCAAAGTCTGCCTAAAATCTCCTCCAAAAACAACTGTAAGGCCTCCAAAGGGCTTCGACTGACTGTTTTCATACCGAAACCATAAGATATCCCGCAATGATTTATCTACAGCTTCCACTGCATGCTTGTGTGACATTACAACTTCATCCAAATAATCAATGAAGCACGTTGAATGAGCTCTGCTAATTCACTTTCCTGGTCAATATGACATGTCGATCTACAATCAAGGTCTACTGGAATGTGAAATCGAGAATGAGCTGTTCTACCCCCATCCATTAAAAGGGCTGCAATCCTAGAAGAAGCGACACATAGAACAATCTTATTTTCCGATCGCAATTTCAAGCAAATGACTTTCCATAAAAAGGTCTTCCCAGTCCCACCACATCCATCAATAAAGAATGCATTTCCCTTATCTGCATATACTGATTCAGTAATTTCATCAAAAGCAATTTTCTGTTGGGTATTGAGCTTGGAATTCATACCTTCATAGTGCTCATGAAGGCTTGAAGCATTGTAGTTAAGTTCTGCAGTGATCAAACGATTTGATGAAGATGGCATGTTACCAGTATTGATAACTGGTAATCCAGGAAAATCAGATAGAGTTTTGCAATTTCTTGCAAGCAATTTATCTATCTCCAGTAAACAACATTCCTGTAACTGAAGATCAGTCATATGTAAAGTAGGCATATTTAGTTCCTTCCGACGGGCATACAAAATGTCATCAGATAACAGTGACCAATTCCGCTCCCATAGTTTCCCAATGTCTGAAACTTGACAGAGGCTGATGATAGTAACAAATAAAGTTCTAAGCTTTTTACCGAATGCCCAAATAGCAGCTTCAGCCAAACAGTCATTCCATTCATTATCTTCTGCCAATAGACCATGCGCATAACATGCTTCCTTAAAAGATTTATGCAAAAATCCATTCACTGTCCTGATGTCCTCAAAACTACCAGCACCACGAACAATATGAAGCAGCATACGCAGATAGAACCTGTCATTTGTAGGCGAGGGATGACAATAATACAACCTGCCAATACTAAACATGGATTTCCTCTTGTGCCATGCCTGCTTTATTTTATTCCAAACATAATGTTGAGGAAATTCTACAAATGTATATTTCCTTGCATCTGGAGATAGCTTATTCACTTTCATCCATTCCAATAGCATAGAGGTTTGAGCACGTTTAGACTGAAGCACACCTTGAGGATTTGAATGATGCCTTGAGACAACTACATTCTGACCAGGAAGATGAAAAGACATGCGCAATACTGATGGGTACTGTGAGTAGACATCAAACTTGAACAACCTCCAGCATGCTTCACCAGATGTGATATAACGACAATCTAGATATGCTTTGATCTCATCAACACGTGGTGTGGGATTCGAACTTGATGCACCAGATTCAATTCCAGTAGTAGTTTCATTATCAACTAATGAAGCTTTTGCTCGATCTTGTGGTTTGTTGATATACTTGAACAAATATTTGATTGCCCTACAATGGCAAACAGAATATGGATAAAAATGGACCTGCAAGGAAATCTACAAAAATACAAATACAGATAACATACAGGAGAAAGTGTGAATTACATCATGGGAACAATAATCATAGTACGATTTTATATTTACTACAGTGAGTACATAATGGTTCGATTATGTTGTCGTCGTTGAAATATATTCATAATTAATAATAAAAATTTAAGAATTCTTACTTCTGAGGGAATACATGGTTTGCGGTTTGTTTCGGCCTTTGGAGTCCACCACCAACCGGTCAATTATTCAAAAAAAAAAACTTATTTCGGCCACTGCAGATAGCCGGCTCCTTGAGATTAAACTAATAAAGGAAGCAAATCATGTTATTAGCAACTCAATTAATTAATATTTAACAAACTACTGGGTTCATGTTCATTACTTGGAAATGACAGGCCAGACAAACCTTACTTATTACATAACGCTATTATTCTCCCTGATGATTAATGATCATGCTTAGGTTATAATTAACTATATCAGCGCATTTTGATTTCATTATGTATCTTCCATCGGTGGAATTCTGTTTATGTTCCTTTTAGTACCTCCTCCTATTGGAAACTAATTAATTGATGCCCAACCCAATCCCAAAGCTACTGCATTCCACTAATGAGTAATGATGAAATAAAACAAAACTAATGAATAGTGATGCAGTAGTCATACTGATACGTGTAAAGCAATAATAAAAACAAAACATAAGCTACCAAATTTCGCAATTTAGATGGAATGAAATAAAAAAGTAAAGTCAATCATAAATATTATATGTGGTAGTACAAAAGATACCTGGATTATGTGCAGGAAAATTGAAAAAACATACCTATAAAGACTAGGAGCTCCGAGTTTCTAGGGCGATTCTAGGGCGATTCCTAGGCGACCCTTGAGCGGGCTAGGGTTTCCGTTCTCATGTCGGCGGGCGTTCAGCCGCCGGCAGGAGCAAGCTCCGGGCCGCCAATGCAACCGGACATAGGAGCTGGTCAACGTCGTCCTCCTACCGAGTCCTCCTCACCCAACCCCAAGGGAGATAAGGAGGCCCAGCACACAAAGAAGAGGGCTAAGCAATCAATGATGCAGCCATATATTGAAGTAATAGCAGACGAAACCATGCCGGAGGTGACTGCGGACGAAGCATCGCCGGCCAAAAGCCCTAGGCCAGCTGCCTGGGCGCATAGTATGGGAGCAGCAAGGAAGCTTTTTGGAGAGAATCAGCGTATGGACGAATGGTACGTCGCGGAATCGGATTCTGAAGATATAGCTGCAGCTATCCGCGAAGATGGTCAAGAAGCTCCGTTTGAAGCAGATGAGGACCCCAAATGTCCCCCGATCCAGTTCTCGAAAGCTGAAGAAAGAATGTTTTGCAGGGAACTCCGGTCTGCCTTGGTAGTGAAAGCTCTTGGCAGATTGGTGTCGTACACCGCTATGTCTATCCGTCTAAATGCCATCTGGGCGAAGGCAGGGGGGATTCAAGTCACATCGATGAAGAAGGGTTACTTCCTGATCCGATTCACTAGCGGGCTGGACTACGAGCGAGCCATCACCGGCGGACCATGGATGATCGGACCGAGCTACCTTACTGTTCATATGTGGGACAAATACTTTGATCCGTACGAACACGAGATATCATCAACTGTGGTATGGGCACGTCTCCTGGATCTCCCGATACATTATTTCCATCACGAGGCGGTAATGAAAATTGGGCGTCGCATGGGTAAACCTATACGAATAGACGCCGCGACTCGCACAAAGGCTCGGAGTGATTATGCGAGAGTATGCGTTCAGGTTGATCTCACCAAACCCCTCTTATCGCAGTTCACGATAAATGGGAAAAAATACTTTATCCAGTACGAGGGCTTGGAGAAGATCTGCCTCAGCTGCGGAACTTATTCTGAACATGGGGCCTGCCCGTGCACCAAAACCCACATTCCAATGGAAACAGACAGCAATGTAGCAGCAAATCAAACGCTGGAAAAGGAGCTGCAACGGGACAGCACCTATGGTGAGTGGATGATAGCTAAAAGAAGACCGAGACCATCTAATAAGGAGCAAGCGACCCAATCGCCAAAGGGGGGAGTCCAGATGCAGAAGGGGAATTTATCGAAACAGAGCCCAGCTACGGGGTCCCGGTTTGACGTGCTACAGGAGGAGGACAGTAGGAACATGCAAGACGTCCCAGTAAGCCAAGCTGCAGGTGGAGCTTCAAAGGGAATGGAACTACAAAAGGAGCACACAAAGGTGAAGAACAAAACTCCCATGCATGCTGAAGGGAACGTGAACACTTCCCCCATGCATGCACACCCAACCGCCACGTCTCCGATACAGTGTGAGGCACCTGTTGTGGATCGCCAACAATCACCAACAACTTGCAATCGGCAGACGGAGTCTATGGGTTCTCAAGGCCTTGGCTCTGAGGTTACATCGCCCTCAAACAACCGAACCCCGGAAGGCAGCAACGATCACCCAGCTCAGCAACCCCAGCAAACGAACGTGGGTGATAAGCAGCCGAGGGAGAGGATGATAGAGAAACCGCCAGACCCAAACGCCCTCTTCCGAAAGCCCCAAAATGGCCGAGCTGAAGGAACGGGGAATGAGTCGGCGATGTTGATCGACGGGGACTCCCCGTCGGAGAATTAATCCAGGGAAGCCTTTCTCCTCTACCCAATTTTTTATGGATTGTAAAATCTTTTCTTGGAACTGTAGAGGTGCAGGAAGTAGGGGTTTTTTGCGGGATTTTCATGAGTACCGTAGGAGATTTCGACCTCATATAGTGATTATCGTTGAACCTCGTATTAGCGGGGCTCGTGCCCTTGATGTTATTAGAGATATGGGTTATGATAGCAAGCTGGTAGTGGACGCCATTCAATTTTCTGGAGGGATTTGGGTGGTTTGGAATGCTAGCGAATTTACAATTATGGAAGTTGACTCTCATCCTCAGTGCTTACACTTGCAGGTCCAGGTACCAAATTCCCAGATGGAAGGTTGGCAAATGTCGGCAATCTATGGCCACCCGGCCCCTGTTCAGAGGCGAGCCTTGTGGGGACATCTTCGGTCGCTGGCGGAGGAGATAGAGGGCCCTTGGTTGTTGACCGGAGACTTTAACTCCATCCTCCACCCGTCGGAGAAACTGGGGGGAGCCGCTTTTGACTCCTACAGAACCAGGGATTTTCAGGATCTGGTGAATGACATCGGCCTCCACGATCTGGGATTTTCGGGCCCGCCATTTACTTGGTTCCGTTCCGGGCTCCGAGAACGACTAGACAGAAGCATGGTTAATACCAATTGGACTATAGCTTTCCCGGAGGCCTCAGTCAGACATCTTCCTCGCCTAGGGAAGTCGGATCACCGGCCTCTGTTAACGTCGCCAGTGTCACCTGTCTTGCGGGCTGGAGCTAAGCCATTCCGGTTCCTCGCGGCTTGGCTTACTCATGAGGGATTCAGGCCCATGGCTGACGCGGCGTGGGCTAAGGGCTCTCACTTCACCGACTCGGCTACAGCCTTTGCTCGCGACGCTATGGAGTGGAATAGATGGGTCTTCGGCCATATCACAAGAAAAAAAGACAGGTTGCTCCGTCGACTTGAGCACCTAGAATTGGCTCCGCCGGACCAGAGGAATAGTGCCCAAATCAGCCAAATTCAGGAGGAGCTCGAGCTAATTCTCTTCCAGGAGGAACTGCTTTGGTACCAAAAGTCGAGAATGGATTGGATTAAGTCGGGAGACCAGAACACAACTTATTTTCATACCAGGACAATCTGGCGACGTAAGAGGAATCGGATATCTGTGCTGAAAAATGACCAGGGGGAGTGGGTTGAAGACCAGGCAACTCTACTTAAACTGGCGCGGGCCTTCTTTCTGGCGCTCTACACGGATGAGGGTGGGGATCTGCCTCCCATGGAGTCCCGATTCCCTCAGATCGAGGCCTCGAGATGGGCTGCCCTCAACGCCACCTTAGACGCCACGGAAATTTTTGGAGCTATCCGTTCTATGGGAGCACTCAAAGCTCCGGGGAAAGATGGCCTAAACCCATTGTTTTTCCAACGATGCTGGGATACAGTTGGGCAATCCCTCAGCCAATTAGCCCAAGATTGTTGGAACCAACCTGAGAAGATACGGGAAATCAACTCGACTATCCTGGTCCTCATCCCAAAGAACCCTCATCTCGTCACGATCGACCAGTTTCGCCCGTTAAGCTTGTGCAATGTGGCGTATAAGGCGGTAACTAAGTGCCTAGCAGAGCGGCTAAAACACCTGATGCCCGACCTGGTGCATGAAACACAGACCAGCTTTGTGCCTGGCCGGCATATTACTGACAATATTTGTATTCTGCAGGAGGTGGTTCATTCCATGCGAGCACGGAGAGGGAGACGGGGATGGATGGTGCTCAAGGTTGACCTGGCTAAAGCATATGACAGGATTAGATGGGGCTTTGTGCGCGACACCTTGGTGGCTACAGGGGCTCCGGAAGGGTTCGTCAACCTGACAATGGAGTGCATTACATCCTCGAAAATGCAGATCCAATGGAATGGGGGCCTAACGGAGGAATTTCAGCCAACCAGAGGCCTAAGACAGGGATGCCCCCTCTCTCCTTACCTTTTCACGCTCTGTATGGAACGGTTGGGTCATCTTATTGACGAATCTGTCAGAGCGGGTCGTTGGCAGCCCATAAAGCTGACCACGAATGGCCCGCCATTGTCCCACCTTTTCTTTGCAGATGATCTCATCCTATTCAGCGAAGCTAATGGTGCGCAGGTCCGGGAGATCATGAATTGCTTTGACAAATTTAGTGAATCATCAGGGCAACAAATCAGTCGCCCCAAGTCACGGGTCTTCTTCTCGGCGAACATGACTGCTGACCGCCGGAAGAACCTAAGTGATGAGCTGGGCATTCCTGAAACGTTGAATCTAGGAAGATACCTCGGAGTTCCGGTCATTCATGACAGAGTCTCCAAGGCCACGTTCACGGAGCTCATAGACCGAATTGACACTCGACTTGCAGGATGGTCCGCTTCAACAATGTCGATGGCTGCTCGTATAACCCTTGCTCAATCAGTGCTCTCGGCCTTACCAGCCTACACAATGCAGACGACATTCCTTCCAGCAAATGTCCGCGACTATATCGATAAGAAAATTAGGGCCTTTGTGTGGGGGAGCTCGGAGCAGGGACGGAAAGTACACCTGGTGGACTGGGAGACGGTTTGTAGTTCCAAAGACGAGGGAGGTTTGGGTCTCATGGGAGCATCGAGGATGAATGAGGCGTACATGTTAAAGATTCTTTGGCGACTGATGATGAAGCCGGGTGAACTCTGGGCGCGGGTCATTCTGTCTAAGTACTGCGATGAGACGGAGGAAGGTACCAGTTTCAAGACACGAGGGCGCCTCTCTAACCTGTGGCGGGGAGTACTGCGAGTTCGTCATCTGGTCGAGGTGGTTTCTGCTTGGAATGTTCGGAATGGCCGAGCTGCCCGGTTTTGGAGCGATAGGTGGTTGGACGATTCCACTATCCTCCGCGACCATGCTCCGAATCTACCGGAGGGAATGGAGGCCATGCCCGTCGCCGAATTCGTCCTCAATGGTAAGTGGAACGAAGCCTTTCTGGATGCGTATTTACCTCGTGCTATTGTTTTGCAGGTTCTACTGCACCCGATGCCGACGGAGAGCGAGCCGGACGTGAGATACTGGAGGCTGACGGAGAATGGTGGCTTCTCATTTCGCACCGCCTACGAAATAACGGACGGCAATGCAAGTCCGGCCACTCAACAACCCATTTGGAGATCGATTTGGAGGACGCCTACTCTGCAGAGGGTCCGCTCATTTCTCTGGCTACTTAACCACAACCGCCTGTTGACCAATGCCGAAAGAGCTCGCCGCCACTTGACTACGAACGTCGCCTGCAAGATTTGCGGTGGGGGCCCGGAGACACCGATTCACATCGTGCGTGATTGCCCCTTCGCGAGAGCCACCTGGGCGGGAATTCTTGAAGATGAACCGGATGTCAATTTCTTCGAACCTGAGCTTCATAGGTGGTCTTTGCATTACTTATCTGGCCGCAGTAAGGTTATCGACAGTACTCTTTTTGCAGGCACGTGCTGGCTGCTGTGGGAAGAACCGGAATGATTACCTATTTCGAAGTGAGTTGAAAACCCATGAGCAGCTCCAGTTTACAACAAAACAGCTAAGGTCTCAGATCACCAAGGCCTTCGAGAAGGAGAGTAACGTGTTCGGAGCCGGGGGACTCCGAGAGAGGCGGGAAATACACTGGGAGCCACCGCCGAGTGGTTGGGCCTGTGTTAACACCGATGGCTCAGCTACTCTTAATGCTGCTAGCACGAGTTGTGGTGGAGTCGTGAGGGGAGACGATGGCCACCTAATTAGAGCTTTCACAGCAAACCTTGGAGGGGGTTCGATCACTCGTGCTGAACTGGCTGGGATTGCTTATGGGTTGAGACTTGCTTGGGAAGAGGGAATCAGGAAGGTTGTCCTACAGACAGATTCCCGCACTGCCCGGACGCTGATCGATAAAGCCACACCGCAGCATCCACATTACTCGTGCGTTGCGGAGATCCGCCAATGGCTAGCTCGGCCTTGGCTTGTCAGGATAGAGCATGTTTTCAGAGAAGCGAATTTCGTGGCTGACCACCTCGCTTTCATTGGCCATTCTGTTCCTATAGGGGTTCATGTGATTCATAACCCGAGTAGCACTCTTCTATATTGGTTGTACTTCGATACTTTGGGGATTCAAACGCCCCGGTTTGTCAGTTCTTAATTAAGGTTAGGGCGCCCTTTGCGCCCTGTTCTTCACCAAAAAAAAAAAAAGATACCTGGATTTATTGCAGAACTCAACGTTTATATGTGCATCGAATCGCAATAATAAATAGCGATTGTATGGCACGACAAAACGATTGTCCAATGACACAGAGTTAACTTTATAAGATATTCCACTGTCACGTCGTCGATATTTGGCAAAGCCATTATCATCAATCGTTGTTTGCTCACAAAATGCCTTTGGAAAATGTTTAGTACACACACCACCTACTGTGCAAGGAGCATTACGGCCCAAAATACCACATGGACCATGCAACATAAATGTCGCTACAGCTCTATAGCCTTCTGGATCAAGATCAAAGTTTGGAATTTCTGCGGATATGACTGAATCAATTGCCTTCGGCCCAGTTAGTTTACAATCCGAAGCTAGGAAGACTAACAAATGAGCATGTGGAAGGCCACGCTTTTGAAACTCAATTGCCATGACAACTGCGAACAAATACAGTATGTATTAAGCATAGATAAAAATAGTCAAACCAAAGTCATACTTAACATTTTCAAAGGCATATGCTTATATGTAACCACTTCAAATGCAACATTAAAAGGCCTACTCATTACCATAAAAGTATAATGAATTTGGTTTATATAATTCATTAAAAGGGAGCTGTACGTGGATGAAATGGAAATTGAGATGATTTTGCCGATTAATTGATGCCCACCCCATCCCAAAGCTACTGCATTAACACTACTTAGATACTTTAACCGACAGGCGACAAGGGGAAAGGACAAATCACGCACTCAAAAAATAGTTGAGTAGATATGGAAAGGAAAAAATCTTGGTTATGACAATTTGCTGCAGACTATATAAAATAAA